CGAAACTGGCCTTGGGCCCCCCCCGCAGGGGAACAGCCCCACCCCAGCCCCCCCCAAACTGGCCTTGGGGACCCCCTGCAGTGGAACAGCCCCCCACCATGGCCTTGGGAACCCCCTGCAGTCCCCTCGGGGGGCTCCCACCTCTGCTGCAGGCAGGGCAGGGGGGACCCCAGCACCCCGGGGCAGGGCTCAGCGGAGGACACGACGTGGGGTTTGGTGTACGACTCCTTCACCGCCACCGTGAAGCTGCCGAAGGAGGGGACACAGGGTGACAGCAGGTCCCGGGGGTCTCCACCGCCGTCACCCCCCCTCTCCCCAGTCCCCCCAGTCCTACCTCTCCCAGTAGCTGCAGACATTGGGATCGCTGGGGCGGAGGGCGGCCAGGAGGCAGGCATGCATCGCCAGCGCCGCAGCCCGCAGCACCATCCTGCATGGGGAGACGACGGCTTCGCCCTCCGCCTTGCCGCATTCCCGCTCCCCACCCCCCGCCCCCGGCCCCGGGCTTCGGCGCAGGATCCGACCTCGTCCCAGCATCCCCAGACACCCCGGGGCTGCACCCCGGCATCACCGCGACCTCTCCCGCCACACCCCATCCTGGTGCGGGCTGCTGCGGGGTGGGGGGTACCCGGGGTGCCGGGGAGGAGTTCGGCGCAGCGGCTCCCGGCCCTGGCACGGCGCCTCGTGGCCCCGTTTCAACCCGTTTCGTGTTTATTCCTAGTTGTGTTTCCTGGATCCGTCAACTTCTTGCTCAACCCAGCGAGGGTCCAGCTTTGCCGGAGCGGCTCCGGGATCACCGCCAGCCTGGGGGCCGGTGTGGGGGGCAGCGAGCCCCCCAAGCCCGCGGTGCCGTGTTTACCGGGACGCGTGTTTTACGGCTAAACACCGTGTGCCGAGGGAGGAAACAGAGGTTTCCTGGTCGGCACAGCTGGATTTACGGCCGCTTCTGTGCCGCTCCGGCCATGGGACACCCCAAAGGTGCAGCCCCCGGCAGCCCCCCGAGTCCGTCCTACTCCTTGCCGGGGCCTGCGCTGTGGTTTGGGGCCAAATAAGGGGGTGGAGGGAGGGAGCGACCCCCCCTCATCCCGGAGCAGCCAGTTTTGGGTGGAAAAACCGTTTAGCGGGAAAGTTTCCACCCCCCCATTTCCCTTCAGCTCCCAGTGGTGAGGAATTAATTACTCATCCGCAGGCGAAATTCCCTCCCTGGACCCTCCCGGGGGGCAGAGCCGGGGGGACCCCCCCAGGCCCTCCCCATGGCCCCGCTGCCGGCCCCATCCCCTGCTCCGGCAATGGGGGGTGGGGCCGGGGGGTCCCAGTGCTGCTGCAAACAGGAACCACTGGGAGATGCTGGCAGGAAAAGCGGGGAGTCATCAAAACCCGCTGGCGGGCCCCATCTGCTCCTCGTTGGGGGGCCCAGCCGCGGGGAAGGGCCCCCCCAAGGTTGCCATAGTGGCAAGAGACCCCCCAAAAGCCAGCGGTTCC